TTCTTCCCACTACAAAAGAGCTTCAAAACCCACCCAGGCTGACTCATATTGAAGGATGGCAGGGCATAACCAGACCAGGGGACAGGTGCTGGAAGTAGTAAGAGGTAGTATAAGCAACCATATAACTTTACTTTCCAATTAATAAACTCAGTCAAAGGACCCCATGGAGTTAAAAGTAAGAATTGAGGTCATCTTGTACAAAGAAAATCCAGAAAAAATGTGTGTCATTTAAAGGATAAACCATGGAAGAAAAGTTTCTTAAAATGCATGTCTTAAAGAATGAAGAAATAATAGAGGAGGAAAGAGTCTTAATAGGTACATAGGGCATAGCTATCTCAGTTTAGAATATCAATTTAACCAATCAGCATCAAGTTTTTAGTCAAATCAATTTTAAATCCTGGGTTTACAAACTGACAACACAAACGGTATAATTTACAGTGATTCACATTAACAAATATGGCATTTGTTCCAGACTTAATACCATAAATCACAGCATATCTACCCCTCCTGCCCCCCTCCTCCAATCATATTGCAAGTTTATGTGACACTGATATGACATACAGGGGCAGCTAGGCTGGCATAGCCAGGCCTGAAGTCAGGAAGCCTCATTTTCTTGAGTTCAAATCTGGCCTGTGTGACCCTGGCAAGTCACTTAATCCTGTTTGCCTCAGTTTCTCATCAGTAAAAAGAGCCAGAGAAGGAAATGGCAATCCACTACAATATCTCTGCCAAGAAAACCCAAATTGGATCATGAAGAGTCAGACCTGACTGAAATGACTGAACAACAATATGATATTCATTAAAAAGGAACTTTGTGAATCCAATTTTAACTAACATTCATTTTCAAGATTAAGGTTGTCTTAATATACATGCCCCCTGGGCAAGTAAATAAAAGTTATACCCAGATTACTAAAGTTAATTTACGTAGTGGAATCTATAATACACTTTATGACATTCCTTCAAACAGAAAATCCTTTGAAAGTCCAGGCTAGCAGTTCGTTGCATAACTGTTTCCTTGGCATCTTTGGATAAACCACAAATTGGATACTAATCTAATAAAATTTACAAAATTTTAACCTATCACTTTCATTTTCAAGCTTTCTTAAGAATTAACATCTTGAAGGGTGTTCAGAGTTGAACTTCAATTTTTTCATTTCTGGAGTTGGATTTAGTTTCATCTAAATCTGAGTTCTAATATTTGGATGACTTTTTTCCAAATGGAGAGCTCTAAAAAAACCCCAAGTGATCTGATTGATACATATAATAATCTGCCAAAAGTCTATTTCAATTTCTATAATTTGTCATCTGTAGAGTCTCTAAAAAGATAATGCATTAAAGTACCTGAAGTCTCCTTTTGTCTCTTCTCTCCTACCCAAATATTTATTTCCACTTCCTTCTTTACACCAGCCAAACCAACTACCACTTTCCCTATTAGAAATTAATTTTTTTCAGTTAAATCTGTAGCCAGTGTGTGCATTTCCTTAGTCTTAATCTCACACTGCTGAATGATTTCTCTGCATTTCAGAAATATTGCTTATTAAATTTTAATAACCATTTTCAAGATTTGTAAGTCATCCCATTCTCTGCAGCTAAAAAGAAACCACTAACTCAATGTACAATTTTCATTATATATTTCTACTCTAGTTATCAAATAGGTTTTCTGATTATAATTTTCTTGTCAATTCTTAAATTTCAGGGGTGTGTTCTTCCATGACAAGTACAATTGTACTAATTTGACATAAATCAGGGTTCATTTACCAACCAATTCTGTTAGGAAATTTGTTAAAAATTTTCTCTGTTGGTTACCTGTAACCAACACTAAAATGTTAAACATGAATAAAATCTTATTTTTATCTTAATTAGTGTAAAACCTAAGTTAACTACACCTTTCCCTCCCCCCAACATACATTTTAAGGTGAAAAAGGTAAATCATACATTATCCCTCCAATATTTAAAAAAAAAATAAATAAAAATCTAAACCTTCAAAGTAGATTTTGAGTTCAGCAGAGATTTCAGTCTAATCTCCTTCATCTTGTACATCTCTATCTGAGTAAAATAACTGGTTTCAAAATAACGAGTCCCTCAGTAAATGAAAGATATCCATCTTCCTTTTCTGCCACCTTCACCAGATCTAATCATGGGAAGTGACAGATACAGGCACAAACAGTAGAAGTATACATGTTTATTTATTTGTGTGCATGCATATACACAAACACTGAAGAACAGATGCTTTCCAAGAGCTAACCAAAAGTTCCTGAAAGAATGCCTTTCATTACTAGATACTGGCAAATACTTCTTATTTATAATTTACTTTGTCAAACAAAAAACCTTCCCATTTCTCAACCAACATTCTGAAACATTCTAGTCCCAGAAGTTGTTTTCCAATTTAAACAGTCTTCAGTATAACTTTTCCCCAAATACTAAGTATTGGGACTCAAGTTAAACCACTTGACACAGGTTAAAGTTTGCTACCTCTAAGCAGCAAATAAATAAATTGCCACATGACAGTAAACATCACTATTCTTTGGACATAATATTAGACCTCAACAGCTTTTGTTGCCTCTTCCTTCTCACCCTCCAAATGTTATACGGTACCAACTATTTAATACTAATAACTTTAAGAGATAATTTATTAACTACGTATCACTAGAAAAACCTATCACTCTCCTGACCTAAATTTATCTCAGTGTATCTAAAAAGTTACTTACAACAAAAACTTTACCTGTTAGAATGAATCAATAACCAATCACAATATTTTGTGGCAAGAAAGTTTTGTGAAACTCTTGGATTCTGAATAAAGCTGTCAAAAATTTTTTAAAAGCTGACCTAGCAACTCTTTAAATTGACTCAAAACAACAGTTAAATGTTCTAAAGTGTTCTATATTACCATATAGTAGCACACATGCTCAATCAGTTATAAAAAAAGTGCTAACTTGAAAACAAAAATCCACAAGTTATTGCTAGTTTCCAGAAGCACCTCTTTGGAACCAGCTCTAACTGGCTCCTTGAGGAATGTGGCTTGGCTGATAGGAAATTTTAGCAACTGAGGCTATTTTCAGTAGCAAATAGGGGAAGAAAGTGGAAGACATTTTTGTCTTTCTAGCTGTTAGTTCCCAACCTTCAAAATAAACACACTACATGAATTCACAACATAGTCTAATGGTAGAAGAAGGGAGTATTACCTCTAGGCCACCCATTAGCTTAGCACAAGTTCAGTACATCATGGTGTAAAGATGGGGACTGGATTTTTCACTAAACACTCCACATTTCTACATTTCTCAAACTATATTGATAATGAAGTTTTCGGTTAACACTTTTCAAAATCAAATTTGTTTATTAAAATAACATCCATACTGCTTTGAGGTAAAAGGTAGCTACCTTAGTTCTGACAGCTTACTAATAAAACCCTTAACGTAACGAGTTGTGACACAAACCCTTCCTTTTGTTGTCAATCTTCCTTACTTGCTCCATTTGGCTGACCTTTAAAAACAGATACCTGGGTCATCTTTGAAGTCTACAATCTGGGAAAGGACTCTAGAAATACAAAGATTTTAAAATGCTTATCTTAAGTATGTGGCATGATGAAGCTATTAGGGGCAATATACAGGTGCTGGTGACTGAACATTTGTTACTAACAAAACCCCTCCAAAGAACCAAAAGATGAACATGTCTTCAAACTATTGCGCTTTACTTACTAATCCTCGTCTCTACTGATGTCAGCTCACAAGAGTAACTAAGTGTGTTAGGCCCATTTTCCCATGGTCTGTAGAAGGCGCTGTGAAGCAGCTCTTGGTTGTACATCTGGGGCCCTTCCCCCCCTCTGCAGCCTTACCCAGTGCAGAGAATGCGCCCCCTACTGACTCCAACACTCATCTCCTTTAGCCGACTTGGCTGCGGTGCATTTTGGGTGGGGGCTGGCATTTTCTTCAAGGCCATAAACCAGAAGCAACAATACAGATTTAATTTAAAAAACAAAACAAAACACAACACAACCAAACAAAAACTGGATCAGGCTTCTGTGGTGCACTTCCCACCACCACCCCTTTTTTTAAAGAATCAATACACATGCACTCAAAACATCACAAATGGGAGTTGTGAGGGAGCAGCATTAAAATGACATCCAGAAAGCAGCTTTGATTCTTTTTTTTTTTTAATTAAATTATTGGCTTTGTCTGAGACATGGGGCTACACCAAAAACCAAAAAACCAAAAACAAAAACCCGTAGAGGAAGTGAATGCAAGTCCATCAAGGTGTATGATTTTCAGAGGAGGGGGTGGGACTATGTGGGAAACAGGAGTACAGGGTCTGGCCCAGAAGCCAGATCCTGGGCGCAGGAGGAGCTGAAGCAATCGCGCCTTTTCCAGCAGACACAGACATCCAGGTGGGGGGGGGGAGGGGAAAGAAGGGAATGGAAGAAGGAAGGAGGGGTGAAGAAGAGGGCGGTAAGGCTACTACTCTCCATTCATTAAATTTCAGTAATTTCTGCTCTCTGGCTTGCCATTTTCTGTCATCTTATTAGCATGTCCAAACCCCAACTTTGCGACAATAAGCAGCGTTTACCAAACAAGCCGGCATTTTTAAACGGGGAGATGCTATCGCTCTCTGTACAGAAGGGGAGGGAGAAGAACTAGCATGCTAAGGAAGAATGCATTCAGAAAGCAAATACTTCGGTTCATGCCATGCTAATCCGCCTTGGTGTTCCTTCCACTTCTCACAAATCCAACCTCTTCCCCCCCTCCCTCCCCAAAAAGCTGAGAACGGTGTGATTTGGCAGGAGACTCAAGTCTGCTCAGGAATTTGTTTTTAAAAAAATTAAACCAAGCCCACATCCATATGTCTTGCTCCTGCTGACAATTGTGTCCTCCATAGGCACCTCAGGGAGCTAAAAAGGTGGGGAATTTCTTTTTGATGGGGAGAGTGGGTACATAAGAAGCCACATATGATGCCAAGACCCCCAAGAAGAAAGCCGGTAGTTAGGTCCACACCGTTATATCAAGAGGATGATCAAACCATTCAAGCAGCTTAAACATACAGAGGACAAGTATGAGGGGGAGGGGGTTAAATTTAAACAACAAAGCGATGTTAAGTCTGCAGAGGAGCTATTTCACGCCTTCAAAGCTTCGCAGGACTGGGATGCACAAGGGGTGCCTCTTGCAAACTCCGGAGGATCTGCAGTGATGATTGCACTTGTGAAAAGATTGCAATGGAGCCTGCACCTTATGGAGGTTACACTAAAGAGGCTGCACGGGAAGGAGAAAGGATGTATCCATCTCTCCTCGTGTAGCGGGGGGTGGGTGTGGGGAGTGGGGGGGGCGGGGAGCGGGGGAGAGGGAAGAGGAGGGAAGGAGTTCATGCAGCTCAAAGTGCAAACCAATCGGTGCATTATTGCATGCATCGTGAAAGATAAAAGAAAAAAAGAGTCGAAGAATCGCTTACCTTGATTTGGTTCGTAAGGCTGCACAGAGCCGGCGTGGTAACGAGGAGGGGGATCCCAGCGGCGGGAGGCTCGAGGGGCAGGAGGCGGCGGCGGCGGCACGGCAGCAGCAGCAGCGGCGGCGGCGGCGGCCGCAGCAGGGTGGGGGGCGCGAGCTCGCCCGGGGTCTCGCGCTCCGGCTCGCGCCGCTGCCGCTGCGGCCGGGGGGAGCGGCGGACGCAGCAGAGTGAAGGCGGCGGCAGCACGAGACGCCGGTGGGAAGCGGCGGCGCGAGCGGCTCCCTCCAGTCCCCGGGCGGGCGGCGGCGGAGTCGTCGAGTGGTGCAGACAAAGGGGGAGGAGGAGGAGGAGGAGGAGGAGGAGGGGTGGTGGAGGGCGGTGGGTGGGGAGGCGGCCTCACCGGCGGTGGTGGCGGCAGCCTCGGCCGCTTCTCTCCTCCTCAGCAGCGCCAGGCGGCGGCGGCGGGACCGGGAGAGGGAGCTCGTCAGAGTAAAAGAGAAAATCCCCCTCAGCGCTGCCCGGGGGAGGGGGGGGCACAAGATGGCGGCGGCCGGGGAGGGGGTGGGGGTGCGTGAGTTCAGCTCATGGATCCAGGCGGGCGGCTGAGGGGACCGGGCCGGCGGAGGCGGCGGTGGGCAGGCGGGGGAGGGGGGGCCTGATCCCGCGTCTCCCCTCAGCAGACAATACAGGCGCCTCGGAGCGAGTCCCCGAACCTGCCCTGGCCAAAATGGCGGCCGAGAAAGAGCGGAAGTGACGTAAGTCCTTCATTAGCATAAGAGGACTCATTGTCCAGCTGGGGGGGCTCTTGCCCCTTCCCCCCACTTTTGGGGGGGGGCATTTACCCCACTTACATTGCACTTTACATTTCACTTACCCTAGCAGTGTGGGTCATACCAACTCTTCTCCCCTCCTTCCCTGGGGTAGTTATATAATATCATTAAAGGAGGGCTGTTCTCGCGAGAATGGGAGGTGTGTCGAGGGGGGAATGAATTTGCTATTGACCCACTAGGAGGCGCCTTGAATAATGGCCGCACTGCGCCGCCTCCTCCAATGTGTGCGGCTGGCGCCTTCCTCTGGCCACTGCAGGCGGAGGCAGCAGGACCAAAGCACTGCCCTAGCACTCAGTCAGGTGGCTGTCCTGAGAATCCCTGCGCAGGGCCCCAGCTGGGCCTGAACTACTTTTGGTGGGGGGAGGGGGTGTGTGGCAAGATGCACCCACGTGGAAAAGTAAAGTGTGTATGTAGGGCAAGGGAAGAGGGTCCCTAAAGGACAAATTAAGATTAAGGGTGAAAGGGGAATCACCTGCCACAATTAAGTTGCTCTCAAGTTACATCAAAAAGGAAGGCCACATTCCCTCAAGCCATATTCATTTTTCCTCAATGGGTGAAAAAGTTTCTAAGGCACTGCCTTAAATCTTACAATGAATTTAGTGAATTAAGTTTCTCAGCCCAGGCTTCCCATCCACCACCTGGCTTGGTGAGAATATTCCTGCAGATGAAAATTGATTTTTAGATTGTTAGTTGTTCTTTTGAAATTTTACATTCTCCATAGACATCCAAAGACATATGGATAGACCTTGGGGCAAGTCATTAAATCTGAGCCTCAATTTCCCCATTTGTAAAATGAGGAAAAGTTGGTGGTCTAAAAGGTCCTTTCCAACTTTATATACATACATAGATAAAAATACAGCCATATAGTTTGTTAGAAAATACTCTTCGTGGTCATGAACTTTTATCCAACATTATCTGTTTTAGACGCCAGCATTCATTTTCATGGGATTAATAATGTCAAAAGATGAGAAATTCTGGCCCTGAAAGCTACTTTTCTTTTGAAAGGTCATTCAATTGGGTAGGGCATTAGGGAGGCTGGAACTTAGGATCTGGAAAATTCAACTTAGGCAAAACTCCATTCTGTATTATGCATCTTCATGTAAAAATAACTTAAGTACCATTCCCTTCCCTCATCCTTATCCCCCCATATTTGTTTCCTTTGTCGACACTTTTAAATCTATCTTTCTGAAAGTAAGCCAGCAAAACCACTAAACATCACTTTATTAAGGTGGTTAACTGAAAGTACTGAGTAGTTATATGATACTAAATAGCAAAACAGTTTGGTATATTTCTACTAACATTATTAAACTGGCAGTAGAGCATAGCAAAAAGAGCACTGGGCTTTAAAGTAAAGCCTAGTTTCAAATCCTGATTCTCCTGCTTTGTGTGACCAAGTCATTTTTCCTCTTCAGCCTCAGTTTTCTCACCTGTACGAGGGGTTGGGCTAAATGATTTCTAAGGTCCCTTCCGATCTAAATCCTATAATCTTAAATTGATTTCCCTTAAATAATTTGGCTTATTTCCATAAAGCTTGCTCAAGAGTGTTAAAGTAGCAATTTAGCTTGCCTTTTTTTTTTTTTAAAATGAAGCAATTGGGGTTAAGTGACTTGCCCAGAGTCACACAGCTAGGAAGTATTATGTGTCTGAGGCCACATTTGAACTCAGGTCCTCCTGACTCCAGGGCTGGTGCTCTATGCAAGCAATTTAGTTTTTACAACATTCCTGAATTTTAGGTTACAAAAAATATTATTAAAACCTTATTCATACTTTCACAAAAGAATTAGAGGCTTATAAATTTGTGTAAGATACTGTAATTTGAAGATTATGTAATTTCAGTGTCCTCAAAACAATTTTAGTATTTATGGACATAGAATCAGAGGATAAGAGTTTGAATTCCATTTCTGCTACTTCTACCAGTATGACCTTCACTGCAAGTCCTGACTTTCACTTCACCCAAGACTCATTCCTTATATAAAAAGATGGGGTTCGAGTAGATGATTTCCAAGGGTCTCTTGCAGCTATAAATCCTATGTGTGAGCCTATAAGGTTCAACAAGTTGTCACCAGCCCAAAGTATTCCACATACTAATTTCCAAACTCAGGTGGCTGGCTAGGGTTCTTATGAATATCAGAAGGTATGTTTTAACTCTCAATTTGATTTAACTTTTAGGTTTTTTCAAAAACCAAAACCATAAAATTACAAGTGGGCAAAAGGGAAAAGTGTTATATTTCCTCAAAAGTCGTAAGGGAAGTAAAGAAGCTAATCATACTTTAAAAATAAAGCAGTTAATAAACGCTATTAGTAAAATAGAACTTGAACAAAATAATTTAACCTCTTTCTTGGCTTCAGTTTTTTTTTTTTTGAAGCTTTGGGTTTCAGACTATAGTATCAAAACTATGTAAGAAACTATACATCCTAAAATTTTAAATTTAGGGATTTTTAAAGCAAAAATTGGATAACAGATTCAAAAGCACAATGGCAAAATCTATTTTTCCTATAAAAATGCTTTTAGATACTATAACATCCTTTTGAATTGACTTTCAAATGGTGAAATAATGCTTTACTGATAAAAAAAATTTTTCTTTATATCAAGTAAGATTTTTAACACAATAGCTGAAGGAGAAATAATTTAAAAAAACCTAGATATCGCATTTAAGGAAATTAGAAGATGTAATACTGCTTACATTTAATTCACTACTACTTTTCTCTTAATTTTCTAACCTCTTATACTTTACAATGAAGTCATAGGATCTTTAGAGCTGGAAGTGAACTAAGGGTCACATTGTCCAGGCCCTTCATTTTAAGGCTGAGGAAACTGATGTCCAAATCTGTTAGTTAAATGACTTGCTCGCAGTCATACAGGGCAGAGCTGATTTTAGATGTACTGCTTTCTCCCTTTTTGTTATGTTAAGATTTAACAAAGTAAAACACAAGCATATTCACAAAAATTGGAAGTGAGGATTCTCATTTTCCTTATCAATTTAAATTTTATATTCTAATTTATAAAATAAAATAGAGGCATTTCTAGTTGTTTGAAGGTTTCTTGTTAATAAAACTGTAATAATGAAAATGAATTAAGAGTAAACTTCTTTAAGAAAGGTTGACCCCTGGTGGGCAAGTTAAGGTTTGAAATAAAGAAAACAACCCTCTTTGGACGGTGGGGCTTTGGAATGAGATTCAACTAACAATGTGGAAAGAACACATGGATTCAAAAAAAATTATTTTTAAAAGACACTGCATCACACAATGAAATATAAATTTTGGCATTTCTGATATGACTTGTTTGGGAGGCAATGTGAAATAGCAGTTTTTAAAATGTCTTTACTAGTGAAATTCCTGAAGGGGAAATATTTTAGTAATTAAAGGTAATAAAATTAGCAGATGTCTAATTAAGGAATACCGAATAAAGTGCAAGCAACTTCTGTAACTTAGTTGACCAACAAAATAATTAAAAGTGAATCTTATTTAACTCCATTCTTAGAATGATTTTTACCCAATCTATTTATGTACTATATATGTTGAGAACAAAAGTAAGAGTATATATATATATATTTGTTTGAAAAAAATGAGAGTACATTTAGCCTTTAAAGGCTCTCAACTTCAGGAATGTTGCTATGTGCAACTTGTTAAAAAGGATTTATTGCTTTTTTCACTTATTATGTCTGTCTCTATATTAGCAATATTTAATTTTGGATTCAGCTTACTAGGTCTTTATTTAGCTATATTAATTTCTACTCTTATTCAGAATCACGAAAGCAGAATATGAGAGGCACCATGAAATAGTGAATATAGCATGCTTCCAGTTCAGAAAGGCTTTGGGTTGAAGTTTGAGATGAGTTGGCTGTGTGACCATGGGCAAGTAACTCAACTTCTCAGTGCCATGGGCAATTTTAGGACACTAAGTTGCATACCTGTTGTGGTTAATGGGCATTTGGTAGAAGGAGTTTCCTCACTAAGAACTGCCTACAATGAAATCACAGGGTTACACCAAACAAAAACTTAATTTTTACTCTCATACAGAATTACCTAAAACTTACTATCTTCTTGAGAAAAAGCTCACTATTACTTAGGAATGTGTGTATGGTTTTGTGTTAAAGATTTTTAAAAATAATAATTATCTCAATAACTTTGGGCAAAATACACATTCAGTAGTGTCCAACTCTTTGTGACTTCGTTTGAGGTTTTCTTGGCACAGATAATACAGTGGTTTGCTATTTTTCTCCTCCAGCTCATTTTACAGATGAGGAAACCAAGGAAAACGGTGAAGTGATTTGAACGGCTAGAAATATCTGAGGCCAAATTTGAATTCAGGAAGATGAGTCTTTTTGACTCCAGCCCAGGCATTCTATCCACTGTACTACGTAGCTGCCCAAATACATAATGACCTAACCCAGGCCTGCACAACCTGCGGCCCACTGGTTTACACTTGTAGCACTCCAAAGGATTTCCTCTACATACAAAAGATGTTTCCCTCTCCATTTTTCTCAGGCAGCCTGAAAATCTTTGGCGGGCCCTAAGCGGCCAAGGGCGCAGGTTGTACAGGCCTGACTTAACCTATACTTACTAAGTATCCCAGACATGGAATTTATTTGCCTTTTCTAAAATATCAAAATTTTTTCAAATGCAGGAAGGAGATAAATATAGAACAGCTACACTTCCATCAATTAACTTAAACTTCCAGTTTGGTGCCAACAGCTGTTTCTTAATTGTTTTTAAGAATTATGAGCCTTTGCTATTCCACATAACTAGCCATAATGTGTCTATATGTACTTTTGAGCACAATGGAATAACACACATATGTAAATTCATTATTTAAAAAATGTATTTTCTTAGAAAAAAGCCCAAGAAAAGTTCAGTAAATTGTTTAAAAATGACTAGAATAACAGTTTGAATCTTGTACGAATTGGATTTTTTTTCTCATTGAGGAAAAAGTTCTTAACAGCTTAACATATCTATGAATTTATAACTATACAACTTTTATCCACATTCAAAACATACATTTAATATTTTTATTAGTCAACTGGTTTAATTTTTACTATGATTTTTCATATTAGAATGCAGTATTTCAAATTCAAGGGTTAAAACAGATCTACTCATTCAAGCTGCAATAAGGCAAAGAACCTAAAATGTTAATTTAAGATAGGTTGGTTGATTTCCTTATTAATTTAAGAGAAAATATTTTAAACCAGATGGTGGATTGTGAATGTTTTCCAACTTATGTAAACATTTTAGGACTATATCTCAATTATGTACATACATAATTCTTTTGAAGTCTATATTCCATAGGAACCCAAAGCTAGAAACTCTGCTTTTAGTATCATTATTTAAATCTTCGCACAAGAAAATCCAATTTAATTTATCAATAATGCTTTATCCAAAAATCTTATAAAATTTATTTATAAATCTCATTACAACTGTAAACAGACATAAAGAATATTTCTTCTTCCTTTACATGGACGTAAAACAGACCTCCAGAAAAAAAAATTAAGGTGTATATGAAATTTACCTTACCTTACTGTTTATGGTCTAAGAGTACAATTTAAAAATCAGCAACCAGGTCTTTTGTCTTATGTTTAAAATGAAACGAATATGATATTTTAAATATAAAATGAATAGTGTCATCTTATGTAGTAGCAAATAGAGTCAACAGTCCTTTCAAAAAGGAGACTATTTCATTTCCTCCCAACTTGGATTCACCATAAACTCGATCCACAAATGAGATTGGAACCTATTTGAAAACAAAACAAAAACAATATATCCTTTAAAAAAAGCAAATAAGCAGAATCTCAATGTGGTGCAAAACCACACAAAACTTTTACTTAAGTTAAACACAGAATTGGTGGAGTTTGCAAATAATCACCAAGTTTATATGTTTAAAGTTTAAATTATGTTGGGGTTTTTTTGTATGATGAGATTCACCTTAACTGAGTGAGGATTTCATGTTTTCAATGGATTCATGATCTTATTGATGTGGATATCCTCCATAATAACCCATGGATTTTAAGATCTGAAATTATAGCATGTGAACCACATGATGCTGCTTTGAAAAGACGTTCAACTCAAAAACAAATTGAACTCTCTTAAGTCTGCAATTGTGCTTCAAGAAAATGTTTTACTCCAAAATTAAAAATATTTTCTTAATTTAATTTTTTGGGGGCTTTTGAAAGAAACATTTTATCATTATGAATTTTCTCATTTCATAATTTTATAAATGGGCACAATGACATTAAATTGTATTTAAATAGTAGTATTCTACTGCTACTAAGTATCAACCTAAACCTATTTTCTCATTTATTTCTTCACAGTTCCAAAAAATTTTCACCCATCCTAGATGAACTAGGCAACTAGGACCCATGTATTTTACAATTTAATGGCTGCCTATCTGCTTAAGCTGATAGTAGGAGAGAAATTTACAATAATTAGACTTAGGCCAGGCTGATTTTTTTTGGTAGTGACCATGGGCATGGATAGACAATAAATTAATAATTAAAGGAAGCAGAAAAGAAAAAAAAGGGGTAAATGGAGGCAGAGTTCTAACAGTACTCTGGAAGGGAATGCTACCTTCTTCTATTAATCCTTCCTTAAAAAACAAACAAAAAACCCTTAACTTTTTTTAAAAGAGAAGTCTAGTATGTAGCTTTAGTGATTTCTTAGCATTAAACATGCTTTTCTAATCAGATTAGTCTCATACCTCTCCAATGGTAAAATTCAGTTGCCTAGCTCGAACAATCATTTCCATCTGGAAGACATATCCTTTAGAAATACATTTTTCCATTAATTTCTGTAGAACTTCCTTTCGGTATAGCCTGTAAAGCACGAGAATGATATGAAGCCTGGGACAAACACAGTAAAATTGATTTCCATTATTACCACAGGTCTACATTTTTAGGGCTTTGAGTCATGAAGTCCCACCCTCTCAGAAGAATTAAATTGAGGGCCACCCAAAAAGTCACAGAGACCCATAATGGGCATGGTTAAGTCACAACACATTCCCAGCCAAGAATTATGCAAGAGGAACATAAAGGTTATTATAAGAGAGATGTATGACTGAAAAAGGCAAGCTGATCAGTGGTGAGAACGAGGGAAAATTGAGTTTGCATACTATTCTGATATACACATACTCTCAAGGACCCAAGCACGTTGGGTGGACCCACTCTAGAGAATTTATGGACAAGAGTTACACAAGGTGGGTTTCAAGCTTTATCTCTTGGGGGGAGTAGCCACATCAATGAGACCACACATCTACTTATACCCCTAAGTATAATCACATCTAATTATTCCCTGACACTCACAGATATTTGTATAGTCTAACATAAAAACTTAATAGTGAAAATTTTAATCATTTTTTTATATTCTGGATCATAAAAATCTTACAATATTTGCATCTTTCAGGGAAGTGTGTATCTTTCTTCAAATTGCATGAAAAACTGTTAAATATAGTTAAGTGAATCATTTGAAGAACAGCTTACTATAGTCAATTTTCTGCCAAATTCTAGTAGAAAAAGATGCTTTAAAATTTCATTAGTTATTTTTTGTCATTTGATAAGAGACTTTTAAAAAGACTAAAGAAAAAACAAAATTCTGAGATATTAAGAAAGTAACAGGCCATGGAAAACCTTTCCAGAGGTAAAAAGAGCAAGGTACAAGGAGAAGGAAAAGTAAAAATGTAAGATAAGAAAAAGCATAATAATGAACTCCATTTTCTCACCTAAATGTCCCTAGGGTTTTATAATAAAAGCTCAATATGCTCTGTGAGAAACAGGCTACTCCAAGTTGCTACAAACTAGGCCTCCAAGTACTAGAGCTCTGCCTTAGAGGAGAAGGCAACAGGATGTATTTGCTCACAAGATGGGAGGTGATAAAAGCTGAGGATGGGGACATTCCTAATAGATAGAAAATGTGGCAACCTGCATCTTCAAAAGAAAGTACAAGCCTGAAACAAATAAACCAGTAACATAAGTACAAAAAGCAGACCTCTATATACTGGGCAAACCTCCACACATTCTTTTCAACCAGTATTCAAATGGAAAGGTGCTCCCTACTTCTAAAACTTCCCCAATCTCAAAAACCTTGGACTTGTTATTTTAAAGGAAAGAGAATAGTAGGGTTCTTACTCTCCCATAGGGACTTTAGAGTTCAACTAGTCTAAACCCCTTATTTTACAGATGAGGAAACTGAAGCCCAGGGAGGTCAAATGATTTGCCCAAAATCCAGTGGCAGAAACGCACTAATGCTGTCTCTCTCTCTCTCTCTCTCTCTCTCTCTCTTTTTTTAAAAAAAGAACACATCTTTAGAAGGGGGTCCAACTTAAGAGGTTTTTGTAGAAAAATTCCTTTCACATTCAACAAAAACTGTCTATTTCCTTCCTTTTGTTCTTTGACAAATTAGGGCTACCTCATTCCACAATGCCTAAGGGTTATATTTGGAAATCAGCATTCATTGTTTTGAGCCTTCCCCCCCCCCCCCCCCTTTGGAACTTGTTCTAAGGTTTTTCTAGTTCTTCAGTTTTCATGCTGGGAGTTCCTAATGGGTATGGCTTGGCTGAGCAAGGACAAATATGGGGATTTATTCTGTTTTGGGACCCCTCAATCCACAGATCTTTTTTCCTGAGAAGGAAATACAGGGTTTGATTATTTAAAAATTAAGTAGTGAATATCAAATAATCCTTAAATAAGAATTGGAAACCTGACATGATCTTCACATCACCATATATTTGCTGACCACCTTCAAAATCAGGCATGCTGTTTCATTCATTTAACAAGCACTGGTTAATAGCTTACTTAACTATTTGCCAGGCACTCGCTTCCACACAAACCTAATGCAAAACAGTGTAGAAACATTCTAAACATGACACATGAGGCCTCAGGAGTACCAAATTCTTTATCTATTTGGCTATTCCTAAGCATAAGGCAGGAATATATTCCTTAGGGATCTTCCCTAGTCACTACTTAGCCCTGTAAGCTGTAAGGCCTCTAGTCTCCATCTCTGAACTGATGATGTTCACATAGCAATAAAAAACATAATATCTCCACGATATATTTCCTCTTCGTGAAAGTTAGGTATGAGAGAGATAAATGGACCAATCACAAACATTCAAAGAAAATTGATGAAAACAGTTATAGCTCATATATAAATCAAATTTTTGTCAATAAATCTATCCTGTTTTCCTAATGGCTTATATTACATAAAGTCCTTTCTGAACTGTGATTTCTGCATGATCTTCAATTGGCCATGGATTATAGCATTTCAGCTTCAAAATTCTCTTTCTTCTTTACTGATAAGGTTTTGGCTGGTAGACGTTAGGCACTAGGACAGTTAGCCTGTAGTAATCCTTTAATATAAATACATCACTTTCTAATTTAGTGGGTTTTTTAAGTTGTCAAGCTTTTAAAATTTAAGGCTTTCCTTAAAAAAGAACATCTATAATTGCATTAAATATCATCCTAAAATCTATAGTAGCTAATGAAACAAAACTAAACTTGTGAAAAAGAACTTAGCCTTGGAGTAAAATGAATCAGCATTTTTTTTTTTTAGCTTTAAGGATGACAAATTTGGTAGTGCTGTCCCTTGGTCATTTGGCACAATCACATCAAATAGTTTATAGAAGTAGGAAGGTACAATAGACAACCTGGATTTGAAATCAGAGCATATGGGTTCAAAATCCAGGTCTGCTACTTAGTAACTCTATGACCTTAGAAGTCACTTAACCTCTGTGGGATTCAGTTTCCGCATTTGTGAAATGAGGGAGATGTCCTTTGAGGTCCCTTTAGGCTCTACGTTTATGACCTTTGTAGCATATCAGAAAATACAAGGAAAAAGATAAAGAAGGCATTTAGGTCCATTTTGAATTGTTCTTAAAATTACATATAGAAGGACAACAAAGCTCAATAAAAATATTAAAAAAAACCTCAAAATGCTTTTCTAGGGGAATATTTTGACAAATATTGGTTTAAATTGCTAGCAAATACAAATTTAACTATGATGTTGCTTATAGTTGTGCTACTGCCAATAGACAGACACTCATTCCATTAAGTTGATAGAAATGTTACGGAGTGCAGTATTAACCTTTTATTTTGTTCTTCTACTTATGAAATACTTCTAGAGGGTTGCCTTAACATCTTATATAGCACTGTTATAGAATATATCTTAAAATAGGTATATTTTCCAAGCATTTCTGAGAAACAGACATGAGCTCTAGGATCTAAGAACATTAGTAATGTGAGAAACCTAATGGATTAGGATGAGAGAGGAAGGCAATGCAAATTGTTGGAAAATAGAAGTTTTCCATATAATAATAAGATTAATACATCTAATAACAAATTAAGTATAATAAATAAATTAAATGTAACATATAATGTTAGATATAACGTAACATAATAATCACCATACCTGAAACTTCCAGTTAAGTCTGATACTCCTGGCCGAAGCAAAATTTGAGTTAAGAAGTTGGCTCCTCTGCTGCCAAATAAAATATCCAAGTTTTTATTTTAAAATTGCAAAGAAGCAGTCACAATAGATTTTAAAATATGGGAACATTAGTCACACATACTGATTAATATCTGAGTGACATTAATGACAACACAAGTAAATTTATGCTATCAGATTTAAAAAATCACCTGCTACCTTACTTTAAGAACCTTTATTGATTAAAAAAAAATTCCTGCAGATGGGGGTGTTTGCCTATAAAAGAATTTTCTGGTCAGTAAAAGATGTGACATCCTCCATTTTTAAGAACAGAAATTCAAATTTTTCCTTCTTTGAAAAATTAGGTATAAAGACTTTCCCCCTCACCCCAAACATTTGAATTAAAACTTATTTGAAAATAATTTCTATTAATATGTATTCATATTCTCATTCTAGAAGATTAACAATTTTCAAATAAGGGAAAATGAGTTAAAGGAATGTGTAGGGCATGTTTTAACTTTCCAGTATGTGATATAATGTAATATTGTGAATGACTGCTTAGAAGTGGCGTAAAAGTTACCATTCAGGAAAAAAAAGGCAGGCTTGTCACTTGTCCAGAGTGAGGGATAACAGTTTCAGTGCTGTGTTGATAGCCATAAAAATCAACAAACTAGTATTTATTAAGTGTTTATTAGGTATTCAGTAATTTTTCAGTTGTGTCCCACCCTTTGTGACCCATTTGGGGTTTTCTTGTTAAAGATATTAGAGTTGTTTGCTATTTTCTTTTCCAGCTCGTTTTACTGATGAGGAACTGAGGCAATCAGGGTTAAGTGACATACTAGTAAGTGTTTGAGGCCAGATTTGAACTGAAGATGAGTCTTCCTGATTCCAGGCCTGGCACTCTATCCACTGCACTACATCCACTGCACAACTTAGCTGCCCTCCAGCATACTAGGTAGAGCGTTTAAGGCAGGGCAGTGGAAGAATCTAGTTGAATGAGAAAATATGATAGGGTTTGCCCAAATGCCTAACAAAAGGGATCTATATTAAATTAAAAATCCACTGAGGTAAACAGCACTCAGGAATAGGTAATCTGGTTCCCCAACCCCAACAGATAGTAAGCAAACTGAGGACAAGGACTTCCTATTTCCCCAGGGCCTAGGCCTGATATTCATAAAGAACACTTAATATCTGTTGATTTGAATTAGCCACTGAGGGATTTAAGAAAAAAAAAAAAGATTCCTCCTTTTTTACATCTAAAGGAGTGTAGTTCTAACCAGGACAAATCATTCATTTGCATGCTTTTGGGAAACTGGGAGTGGTTTCTTTGCGTAGTAGTCTAATACATTTGGAAGGGAAGAGCTTTTATCACAGATAAATAGAATTGAATTCCAAGTTAAAAGCTATGAATAGTTTTCATTAGCATTTCAAAATGTATCAGGACCTGTAGAAAGTGTTTAGAAAGCCAATACAAAGTTGTTTGTCTCTCTCTCTCTCTCCCTTTGTCATGGCTTTGGGAAACAAGTTTTCCCTTTTCTTAGGGAAAGTTATTTTCCTAGAGCTACAAAGAATTCAAAGGATAGGGACCAGACCTTTGATTTCCTGGATAAAGCCATCTCCAAGGATGAATCAAACCAAGTCTTTACTTTCTCAGTAACTTTAAGTCTTTAAGTGACTTCTCCAAGGCTAAAAGGCTAGGCTGTGTCTAGAGGCAGGACTTGAGTAGGCTTCGATTATCTACTACTCAGTGGTTGCCTCTCCAAGATTCCAATAGCAAACATCAATTTACTGTAAGAAGCTTATAGAGATGTGAAAGGCGATTAGTAGTAGAGTGGTAACTTTAAATACGCCCGTATGAAAATATCTTTTTTTTTTAATATTTGAAACAGAGCACTGCAAATAACTAGTATTTAAAGTAAATGGCTTTAAAAGTAAAAAGAAAAATCTTTTTTGATATACTTAAAATAGTACAGAATAAAACATTTAGGCTTATTTGCCCAATAAATTAATTGGATTAGATTCAAAAGCAACTTAGACATTATTAGTGCTCTTGTGACAGAACAAAAGTAAAACTTTTGAATCAAAAGTAATTGAACATAACTGCTGTTACATTAACTATACTGTCAGAGAAATTATAGAGGTCTAGTTCAACTGTCTCAATTTATAGTATTAAAAAAACTACAAACCCAGCATCACAGAAGTAGTTAGTAATAAAGCTGGGACTAGAACCCAGATGCACAAAAATGTCAGTGGAGTTTAAGTAGTCACTGATTGACATTTAAAATATCATATGCATTTATGAATATCATACAAAAATCAAACCAATTTAAGACTAAAAATTATGATATAATTTAGGGTGGATTACTCTATAATACGTTAATTTTTAGAGTTTAGTTAGACTTTCCATTCAAAAATTGTTCTTACAGAAGTCCCACATATTATGTAAATACCTCTTCGCTTTTTAAATAGAAGATTCAAGACAAAAAATATATAAAAATTACTTTACAGACAACTAAATTAATCTACCTGACAATTTTTCTCTTCAAATCCCAGCCATAGACACCTCCATTTCCTCTGTAGCGAGTTCCACAAACAACGTCAAAATTACCTTCTTTTTGCTTCCTACAAGAAACATACATTAGCTGACAATTTCTAAAAGCTAGCACAACTATTATTTTCTCAATATAAAATTCTTAAATATTTGCAATTAGCAAAAAACTGTATTGGGTAAAGATATATTTAAATTTTTGTCATTTGTTTTAATTTCCCAATGTATTAGAAATACTACCTACCTAATGAATTCTGGAATAAATTTTGGCTGTAATTTGGGGGAAAAAACAAACAGTAAATAAAATGAGGCTAAACTTTAAAAACTAACATAGAAACAAGTTATCAAAGAAAAAACACTTACATGGTGTGAAAGATCAGCATCCATAATAATAATGAAGTTTCCTGTAGCATGCTGTATTCCATGAATATAAGCTGTTCCTGATAACAAAAGTTTAATAAGCTACTTCAATTCTTGGTGACTTTTAATGAATTACAATTAAATTATCAAGAGGAAAAATCTTCAGTGCAAATCAGTATTTAAAATGATACACATCTTAGTTATTGTTTTCAACCAAGATACATGTTCAAGTCTTCTTAATTTAAAGCTAATTTTTTTTAACAAGAAGAAAAAAATTTATTGGTTTTGTTTTTAGGCAATTTGAGGTTAAGTGACTTGCCCAGGGTCACATAGCTAAGTGTCAAGTGTTTGGTCTGAGGCTGGATTTGAACTCAGGTCCTCCTGACTTCAGGGCCGGTGCTCTGTCCGTTTGTGCCACCTAGCTGCCCCCCTTTTGGTGTTTTTTTTTAAACATCATTTCCCAATGATGCACCAGGCTAGACTCTCCTTTATAAGAAAAGTTAAGCAAAACATATTGAACACATATGCAGCAGTTAATAACTCACAGTCTACTACCTCACTAGTAAGAAGAGCGAACTACTAAATTTCCCCCTCCAATGTGGACACCTACTAAAAGAGAATATAGATGATATTCATAATCATCCAAGTTATCTACTATACTGTAGATCTACCATCTACAAAGGGTAAAAATCTTCAGCCTAACACTTAAGATGTGTTAGGAAAAGACAAGAAAAGGCAGAATAAAAACTCATTATGTGTATAACATTTTGAGGTTTGCAGAACAATTTACTCATAATAATCTCATGATACATTGTACAAATATTATTATCATTTTATAAATGAGGAAAATAAAATGCCAAGATTTTATGTGACTTTTTCATGATCATATAGCTATGCTTGTACTACAGACAGGAGTCAAACCTAGTTCTCCTGAGTACAGGCTTCTACCTGCACTGCTTGGCTGCTTCTAAGGAATATCAACATTCTCTGATTTGTCTGCTCCAGACTGAATCATCACACTTACTTAGGTGTGTGGGTAAACCTAGGTTTTTGAAGGCCAGCATAAGCTCTATCATATTTTATCAACACAGGAAGGCTGTGAGTCTTAGTGACAGACTGGGTCTGCTGAGGACTAGCTTTATTCAAATACATCAAAGGTTAATTAACAGAAGAATAGCTGTTAGGTGATGATTCTCTGGCTGTGGGTGAACATGAAACAAATAAAAATACTAAATAGCCATCAGTCTTAGGAGGCTCCCTTTCACTTTTATGATGGCAGAAAAGGCAAGTGTTAAGAACCATTTGGGTTTCAGACCACTCATAGGTATTATTTTTACTTTTTATAATTGCATATTTAGAATGCCAACAACCAACAAGATAACATACTACTAGAAAAATTAAGCCACAACCATTTTAGCTATTGAAGTTGCAGCTAAATGAAGACTAAGCATGATTCCTTAGGAGTCAAAAGAGTCTGGCAGATTTACTTTTATATTGTGACTAATGCAACAAAAAAAGTCATGATATGAGGGCATCTTTTTCTGCACTGCTCATAACTCAAAAACAAAAAGGATCAATGATCTCAATATAGGAATTCCCTATGAGATGATACAGAATAAAATCCAAATAATCTGCTCATTTTGTGATAATCCTAGTTCTCATCTTCCTATGTTAGCTATCAAGTATCTGATACCCAATATGATGAAGGGGGTGTGTGTAGATGGGGGAGAGGCCCTTCCTCTTGATACCTCAAGGAAAATAATGAAGCACATGGCTTGTCCAATAGTTAACCCTTCCTTCTCTCATATGACCTTTCCTTATTTTTTTTTTTACTCATAATTTCCCTGATGACATCCTTCACTTCCTTTCTTTGTAATTCCTTGTTCATGTCTTCCAGTCTGCTCATGTGCACCATGCATTTCTTTACTGACTTTTGAGTGATTTAAATTTAAATTCTGGGGAGATACCATAAATGTTCCATGACTCAGCCATATACTTGAAGAATGTTAAAAAGATGAGCCCTTGTTTTAAGGGAGAAGTTTGGGATCTACATGTTGCCCATTCAACTATCTATCAATCTGAACAACAGTCACTCTTCATCCATTTGGTTCTGTGGGGAAACTAATAGTAATTATAATTTCATCTAGAAAGTTCTGCAGTGTTAAAGGGCTTGATGTAAATAGCACAATGTATCATGTAGGATCTTCTAAGACTGTCTGCAGGATCACTACATCTTTTAGTTAATTTTATGAGAGTAAAGATGTGGCTCATAAGTACAAAACAAAAACCACCACAAAATAATTTTACTATATAATTTTATATATATAATATATATATATGTATATGTATACATATATGTATATGTATATATATATATGTATATGTATACCTGCTGCAGGAGACAGTAGTAAACCTGCCAAGTACCTTAGAAGCTATAGAGTCCAACCTTCTCATTTTACTTAAGAGTATGTAGAAGCACAGAGTGGCTATGGGAACTGCACAGTGATCACAAACTAAGTGAATGAGTTGGAAATTGAACCCAGGCAGGTTTTCCTGATTTCAAGTTTAGTGCCCTATCCAATATACCATGCAGACTTGAAGCAGCATATACTTGGACACTCGGTGACTTCAATGTAAAGGTGGGGAAGGAAAAGATGGAGAAAACTATGCTAAAAATATAATTTGGGATTTAAAAGTGAGAGGGCAAAAGCCTGGAGCTAAAGTTTCAAATTGAAACAACCATGAGAAATCATCTCATACCTATCAGATTGGCTAAAATGATAGAAAGGGAAAATGACAAATGTTGGAGGGGATGTGGAAAAATTGGCACTGAATAAGTAGATTATTTTAGGCAGAACTGTCATTTTTATTACATTGGCTCAGCCCAGTCATGAATAATTAATATTTCTCCAATTATTTAAGTCTGATTTTACTTATAAAAAGTATTTTATAATTATGTTCATATAGTTCTTGGATTTGTCTTGGCAGGTATACTCCTAGGATTTCATATTATCTACAGTTATTTTAAACAAAATATCTCTTACTAGCTCAGGCTTTGCTGGTGATATGTTGAAATGCTTATAATTTATGACGGTTTATGTTATATCTTGCTACTTTGTTAAAATTATTGTTTCAACTAATTTTTTAGTTGAATCTCTAGGATTGTCCAAGCACACCATCATATTGCCTGAATGGAGAGACAGCTTTATTTCCTCACTGTCCATTCTGAATCCTTCAATTTCTTCTTCTTCCTTAATTGAAATTGCTAGCATACCTTGTACAATACTGAATAATACTGGTGATAATGGGTATCCTTGTTTCACTCCTGATTTTACTGGGAAGGCTTCTCTAGCTTATCCCCATTACAGATAATGCTTGCTGATGGTTTTAGGTAGATGCTTCTTATCATTTTAAGAAAAAATTCGTTTATACCTATGCTTTCAAGTGTTTTTCTTTTTAAATAGGAATGAGTGTTATATTGTGTCAAAAGCTTTTTCTGCATCTTTATAATCATTATTTTTGTTGCTTTTATTACTGATATAATCAATAATGTTAATAGTTTTCCTTACATTGGGCCAACCTTGTGTTCCTGGTCCATATCTCACTTGGTCATAATGTATACTCTGTGATATAATGATACAGTCTCCTAGCTAGAATTTTATTTAGGATTCATTGCATCAATATTCATTAGTGAAACTGGCCTATGGTTTTCTTTCTGCCTCTGCTTTTCTGTTTAGGTATCAGCCCAATGTTTATTCCATAAAAGGAGTTTGGTAAGACCCTCTTGCCTATTATTCCAAATAACTCATTTAATATTGGAATTAGTTAATCTTTAAATGTTTGGTAGAATTCACTTGTAAATCCATCTGGTCCTGATATTTTTTCCTTAGGACAGTAACTTACGGCTGTTCAATTTCTTTTTCTAAAATAGGTTTATTTTGATACTTTATTTCCTCTTTTGCTAACCTGGGCAATTTAGGGCAAAACAACTCCTAATAATTGCTTTAATTTAATCTTCATTAGGTGTGTATTCACCCTTTTCACTTTCGATATTAGTGATTTGGTTTTTTCTCTTTTCTAATCATATTAACCAATGGTTTATCTATTTTATTGTTTTTTCATAAAACCAGCTCTAGTTTTATTTATTAATTCAATGGTTTTCTTACATTCAATTTTATTAATCTCACCTTTAATTTTCAAAATTTCCAATTTGGAGTTTAATAATTTGTTCCTCTTAGTTTTTTAAACTGCATATCCAATTCATTGATCTGCTCTTTATTTTACTGATGTAAATAAACATTTAGAGATATAAATTTTCCTCTGATTACTGCTTTTGCTGCATCCCATAAGTTTTGGTCTGTTGTATTATTATCATCCTCTTTAATAAAATTATTTATATGATTTGTTCTTTGACCCATTCATTCTTTAAGATTAGTTTTCAATTAATTTCCAACCAGTTTTTCCATGGTCCTTGACTAAATGTAATTTTTATTGAATTATGATCTGAAAAGGATGCATTTAATTTTCCTGCATTTCACTATAAGCTTTTTATGCCCTAATATATGGTCAATTTTTGTAAAGGTGTCATATACCTCTGAGAAAAAGGAATATTCCTTTCCATTCCCATTCAATCCTCTTATCATATCACATCATAGCTAGCTATCTAAGATTCTATTCATCAACTTTACTTCTTTCTTATTTTTTATTAGACTTGTCTAGTTTTGAGTGGAGAGTGTTGAAGTCCCCCACAATTATAGTTCTGCTAAATATTTCCACCAGTAATTTGTTTACCTTTAAATTTGGATGTTATAGCATTTGGTGCATAGTTAGGATTGGTATTACTTCATTATCTATGATACCTTTTAACATAATGTAATTTCCCTGCTTATCTCTTTTAATTAAATCTATTTTAGCTTTAATTTTGTCTGAGATCATGATTGCTACTCCTGCTTTTTTTATATTAGCGGAAGCATAATCCACTCCTGCCCTTTGTTTTGTGCCTCTCATTTTTAAACGTGTTTCTTGTAAACAACATATTGTCAGGTTCTGGTTTTTGATCCATTCCGCTGTTTCCACTTTA